GCTACTGGGCTTCATGGGAGTAGGGGAAAGAAATTTGTTATAAAGATAAACCTCCTACTTCAGGCTTTCCAGAACCCACCTTCAGAGCTACTTGTTGCCTACAGTTTTGAAACCTTTCTAGAATTGTGCAACATGAATTTCCTTGCACCCTGGTTTTCCATACCTAACTTATATTCCTGATCTCTCTACTCTGCTAAGTCAGTGGCCTATCACTAGTCCATCAGTTTTCTAGCTCCTAATTANCTCTCTACTCTGCTAAGTCAGTGGCCTATCACTAGTCCATCAGTTTTCTAGCTCCTAATTACGCTCCTTGCCCTTGCTTGCTGATGCCTTTTTTCCCTTTTACTGTCACTCAGTGTGGTTTCAAGAGACATCAGAGGTAAATGCATGTGTTCAATCTTCTATATTTTACCTTAACCTATTTTACAGATGGAAAAACTGAGGCCCAGGGAGGACAATGACTTGTCCCACGCCATATGGCATAACCAGGTTATAAATAAATAACCTGGCTACAAATAACCAGGCTGCCTCCAGGTAGGTACCAGGCCAATGATCTTTGTGAAAGCACCAAAAGGGTATGAAAATATGAGGAATGCGGAAATTGAGTAGAGTGGTTTGGAGAGGGGGTATACATAAAGGGAGAGCACTGGTGGGGTGGCCTGAGAGGAAATAAAAGGAGATGGCCAGAGAATAAGGAGATATATTTATCCTTGGGTTTTCTGGCCTTTTATATTTCACTGTCTTCAAATTTCTTTAAGATATATATTTTCTGGGCTGACCCGGTGGCGCACTCGGGAGAGTGCGGCACTGGGAGCGCAGCGATGCTCCCGCCGCAGGTTCGGATCCTATATAGGACTGGCCGGTGTGCTCACTGGCTGAGCGCGGTGTGGGCGACACCACACCGAGGGTTGTGATCCCCTTACTGGTCACAAAAAGGACAAAAAAAAAAAAGATATATATTTTCTATAGGAGCCCCTTTCTGTGTTTACAAGCATCCCATTGCAAGCCAGACTCCTCGCTATTTCTATTCTATACTGCATTCTTTTCCAGAAATATACAGTATTTTTAAAATGTGGTCCCACTCAATGTGTCCATATCCTCAAATGCTTGCAATGACTCCCCACTGCCTGTGGGATAAAATCCAAATCCTCTGGTTATTCAATAATCCTGAAGTTTGTGGGGAGAAGGGATGACAGGGAAAAGTAGAGGGAAGAGATGGGAGCAACTCGACAAAAAAAAAAACTGGGTACAATAAATGTTGGAGACAGGGAGAACAAGCTAAAGATGACTTCAAAGTGAAAAGCTTGGGTGACTGGGACAAATCAGAATGTGAAAGTCAGAAATGCTGATGAGCTTTGGTTTTCGATATGGTAATGTAAAGAAGGCAGGGTAGACAGCCACGCAGAAATGGCTAACAGACAGGTGGAGACGGGGTGAAAGATGTAGCCTGTGTCACAGGATCTCAGGACTGGCAAGTTCTTATGTATGTCCCAACACAATGCTACCCAATCCAATGTTGAAAGAAATGAGAGAATATGATAACTCTAGAGCTCACCAAATCTAAGGGAATCTCTTTGGGATAAGTACATTTGAGTGGGATTAAGCAGCAGAGAAGGGAGAACAAGAGGAGATCAGATGAATAGATATTTCTTATGTATAAAATGCTTTTTTTCTGTCAAAACAGAGCATATCTAAAACATAATTTAATGATGCCTGCTGTGATATTG